ACGGCGCCAGGCCTTACTTCTATCATGACGTCATCGCGCCCGGGACCGCTATCACCCCTGCTGACTACTATCATCTTGGTGGGTGATTCGTCTGGATAATGCTCGTGTTTTTGTGAACATTAAACCTGGTGTTATGAAGTAAAATTTAGCTGTCTGTTAACATATCTTGCATGTGCACTGGCTTCCGTAAAATGTATACAACTGAATAAGGCTGTACAAAGCATAATCTCTGTATGTAAACTATATGTCAAAGTTCTTTAGTATCATACAGAATTCGGTAATTCTGATCTATAAGGATTTGTGGTATCTGGTATGGGTAAAGGGAGGTTCGTCTGTACCGTAACATTGCCAGGTGGCGTGACGGAGGCGCAGTATGGCAAGAAGGTAGCATTGGCAGTGAACGACTTCTCGCTGCTAGAGAACATGTACGACCCCGCGTGGGAGATGGCGCCTCCCGCGAACGCAGTCGTCTTCGTGGACAGCCACCTGAGCCAGCGAGACAACTCCATTCCCGCAGGTGAGGCACGAAGCTGATTCCTCTTGCTTGCGATTCACACACTGGCATTGTGTTTCCGCTTACCTCTCCTTTGACTTGGGTTTCATGATTTTCTGAATTGGGTTTCTTCACAATTGTCTAACTTTTATTTTGCATGACCTGTCCCCCTGTCGTCTGTCCCATTTCGTCTGTGACCTGAATTGCTCTGACTTCCGTTGACCTTGCTAAGAGCGTCGCTACCGTCACCTTCCCTCCAGGCGAGCTGCTGACCTTCCGCAGTCCGCGGGAGTACCGCATGGCCACGGCCTTCATGCTGGCCGACGACTACGGCCTGGCCCGAGTCATGAGTAGTTACCAGTTCGCTTCCGACGAAGAAGGGCCGCCCATCGACGCCCTCAACAACACGCTCGACGTGATCACCGACGCCAACGGCGACTGCTTGGGCGGGTGGGTGTGCGAGCACCGCTGGCCACCCATCCTCAACATGGTCAGTTTATAAGTTCACGTGCATATATATATGTGTATATATATATATATATATATATATATATATATATATATATATATATATATATATATATATATATACATATATATATATATATATATATATATATATATATATATATATATATATATATATATATATATACATATATATATATATATGTATATATATATATATATATATATATATATATATATATATATATATATATATATATATATATATATATATATATATATATATATATATATATATATATGCACATTCACAAGAACACATGTACACACATATACAAATGCACACGTACATGCATTACTGCCCAGCCGCACACGACGAGTAAACATAGGTGAGCTTGTATACCCATCTCTGTAATTGATTCTGCTCTAGCATTGTTTTATTATTCATCAGCGATTTTAACAAGACTAAAAGGCGACTTCCGTGTGCAGGTAGAGTTCAGGAACAAAGTGGCAGGACGAATCGCAGTCGCTTTGAAGTCCTCCCTTCGGGCGCCGTCGTTCTGTCGCGCGGAGACCGGGGCTTCTTCGCCATGGCTCCCTTGGGCGTCATGGACGAGCTGTTGGATACAGGTACAGGAGCGTTTATCTTTTCTCCGCCAATACAAATGTCTGACCACAATGAAATGCTGTGTTAAGAATGTAGAGGATGTCCACTTGGAAACCCATGTTTTCCTTTTCCATTTGTCATTTCGAGCAACGCAACAAGCCCTTTAAACGAGTCCTTTCATTCTTTTGTGGAACAAAATAATGCAAAAGAATATGTAATCTGTCTTATTAAAGAATGGAAAACATGTTTTGTGAATGGCTCTACTAGCTCGGACGTCGTTGTGTATGTTGGCAATAAAAGTACTTCTGACGGCAATCACAAATCGTCCACCACTGGTGCCCCACGAGGCAACGAAAGCCTTAACCCTCTTCTGTGATCCGTAGGCTTGCCGCCGGGTGACTACTGTGAGCTAGTGAGTGGCTGCGGTGTGGAGTTCACCGTATATGCGAACGGGTCGTCCCAAATCACCATCGCCGACTTCGATGTGCCCTTCTCCGCCATTTTGCTGGGCTGCGTGTTAGTGTGATGTAAGCAAGGGTGGCCACCCATCCTCAACATGGTCAGTTTATAAGTTCACGTGCATATATATATGTGTATATATATATATATATATTATATATATATATATATTATATATATATATTATATATATATATATATATATATATATATATATATATATATATATATATATATATATATATATATATATATATATATATATATATATATATATATATATATATATATGTATATATATATATATATACATATATATATATATATATATATATACATACATATATATATATATATATATATATATATATATATATATATATATATATATATATATATATATATATATATATATATATATATATATATATATATATGCACATTCACAAGAACACATGTACACACATATACAA